AATAGAAGCTCCTCCTGCCAGTTGGAAATTGTTTGTGTGATATAAACTCAAATATTCAAAACATATAAAATATGAAATAATTAGCAAAATTGTGAATAAACGTGAATCACGTGACAATGTGAAACACCCCATGAGCACTTCAAAGTGGCTAGAGTGAATACTCTTACCCTAAGGAAAATAAACAAAAGCCTTTAGGATAATGTTCCCGGTATTCTTCAATAATTCCTTCAGAACCATTACATAATAGCCGTGAGAAAATACCTCCAAAAAAAAAGATTTTCAATTCAGCTCATTTCATATTTTATATGTTTTGAATATTTGAGTTTATAGTGAGGGTAATACACTATCTCGTTTTTTTTATATATATATTTTTGAGGTACATGGTGGATGCCTACACCATGTTTGGATTATTTCATCGAAGGAATAAAGAATTGAGAATATGTACTGACACCAAGAGGGTTTTCATTTTAACTATAGGGGCACCACATCCTGATCACACAAGACCTGTAAAGACTGCAATTGAAACTGACTTTTTAGGTGCGCAAAGCTATACATCCATTGTTAAAAATAAATACAATTGTATTAACAACACCAATAAAAGGATTTACATCTTAAAAATAGGGGAAATGTAGGTTAATCCAGCTCTCTTCTATTCAGGAGATCAATTTTATCATAGATCCAAGAGATCAATACAGTATATATCATATATCCAACTTTTACAAGATATGACTTCATAAATCAACAGGTTGGCCATATGTATATCAGACTGAATTTTGTAGTGATTTTGACAAGGATCCTCTTTTCTTGACCCATTTCGTGGGATATTACCTACTTTTTAAGTTTGTTTCTTTTTGGTTTTTGTTTTTTTTTTTTTTAGATGATTTAAATCTTTTTAATAGTGTTGTTAAAAAGTGCATTTATTTTAAGAGCGTATAGTCCTTGGGCACCTGGAATAAAGTCAGTTTCAGTTGGTATGTTTTATAGCTCTAATATTCTACATCATTGGCTTTTATTCTTGGTGTAACTGACTCCCTTTTTTAGAACAGTGGTCTCCAAACTTTCTAAACAAAGGGGTCCTTCAACTTTGGGGGGGGCAGACTGTGGCCAGTGGGAGGAAAAAAATGTCCCAGCATCAATGGGTTTAGACAGTGGCTCAGGCTTAGTGATCAATAGGAGTAAAACAATTACATACTACCTGTAGTCAGTAGGAGGAGAATACTGCCCCGTCATTGGTGCCACTGGGAGGAATAGTCCCCTCATCATTGGTGTTAGTGGGAGGAATAGTGCTGAGTTGTTTATATTGATGAATTATGTCTCACCATTGGTGTCAGTGAAAAGAATAGTGCTCCATCATTAGTTTCAGTAGAAGGAACAGTGCCCCATCATTGGTGTCAGTAGAAGAAATAGTCCCTCATTACTGGTGTCAGTGGGAGGACTAGTGCTCAATTGTTTATATCAGTGGGATGAATTATGCATTATCAATGGTGTCAGTGGAAAAAATAGTGCCTCATCATTGGTGTCAGTGGAAGGAATAATACTTCATCATTAGCTTCAGTAGAAGGAATAGTGTTCCATCATTGGTGTCATTGGGTAGAGTAGTGCCCCATCATTGGTTTCAGTGGGAAGATTAGTACCCCATCATTGGTGTCAGTGGGAAGAGTAGTGCCCCATCATTGGTGTCAGTGGGAAGATTAGTGCCCCACCATTGGTGTCAATGGGAAGAGTAGTGCCCCATCATTGATGTCATTCGGAAGAGTAGTGCCCCATCCTTAGTGTCAATGGGAAAAGTAGTGCCTTACCATTGATGTCATTAGGAGGACTGGTGCCTTATATCAGTGGGAGGAACAATGCCCTATGGGCTGAATAAAAGCAAGCAAAGGGCCACAGTTTGGAGGCCACTGTTTTAGAACAAAGAGGTACTCCAGTGATACATTGTTACTCTGTCCACTTGACTTGCTTTGCTGATAGTTGTGTAATAAACATTTCCAAACTAGCTGATAAAGTTAAACCATTTCTGAAAATCCTTGAGCTCCAAAAATGGAACAGAAGTTTTTTATCGTCAGGGAAAAATGTTTTTGTGCTCGGCAGCTGCCGGTGACACTGAAATTTCTCAGCTGCAACATCCTTTTGCTCTGTTCTGAAAATATTTAACTCAGAGTCAGAATAAGCAGAACATTAACAACGGTTATCTACAACATATTTATATTACATGTCAGCGGTAATGTATAGCTTTTTCTAATTTCTTCTGCTTGTGCAACATAGATTGGTTAAATGTGCCAAATGCAGCTTAAAAATGATCCCGACGGTTTGGCTCTGTTTGTTTTTTAATATCTCTATGTTTTTTAGTCCTTTTGATGGATTGAAGTGTAATTAAATGTGTTAGGTGAAGATTTTTTGCATAAAATTTCTGCATACAGTTTTAAACTCTTGAAGAGCCTAAACTGGAAAACAGAAGGTTCACTTAAATAGTCCCAAAGGTCACATTATTATAAAAAGAGGAATGCTGACTTAAAGTGTATCTAAAGCCAAAAAACGTTTTCTGTCTTAGTTTTAGATAGATATGCCACTTGCCAATGAAATGAGGCAGAGAGCATCTTTAATCACTTACCAACCGACATACATATTAAAAACATCTTGGTCAGCAAGTGGTTATACCAGGATCATCGCTGCGGCTGAAGCTATGAGCCTGGTATTGTTTTCTTATTAGATTTCTTGTAAAAGTGATCCGAGTGGCTTTACAGCCACTCAGTTACATTTATAGTGCTCTGAAGGTCTCTCCATCCTGCCACCATTCGTAGAGCCTGGGACTAGGGTTAGTGGTCAGGACAGCTTCCCACTGAGGAGAAACATCCATTCTCTGATCTCCTCTATAATGAACAATCCTGGAAACAACAAGGATTTTGTCACTTCGGGTAATTTCCTGGCTGTTACAGCCAAAAAAGCATCTAACCAAGCATGATCTGTGCTTGGTTAGTTGCTTTGGAGGGCAAGGGTGACATCAGGGGTCTAATAGACCCCTGATGACTTTATAAAGAGTACAAGTCACCTGCCCAAAGCTATCACAAGGGGTCTTGTTCACTCCCTTGTGATAGCAATAAACTTAAATTTGAAAAAAAAAAACAAAAAAAACTTAAGTGTAAACATTTTAAAAGGTAAAAAATTTTTAATAAAGTAAATAAAAATAATACAAAAACATTTTTTAAAAGCTCCCCTTGTCCCCCCCTACCTTCCCCATGATTACTTGAAAATGCAAACGTGTGCTCTGGTCCGGCATGTAAGCAGTGATTGCACCACACATGTGACGTATTATCACAATCACCAGAGCAATAATTCTAGGGCCATAATTCATGATGAACTCTAAACTGATAACCTGTAAAGGCTTTTAAAGTGTCACCTATGGACAATTTTAGGCACAGTAGTTTGTCACAGGATAGTATAAAACCAATCAATAAGCTCTCATAAGGTTGTTTTCAATTTTCTGAAGCTTTCATCTAAAGCCTTGTTCACACTGGGTGATTCCATGCATACCCTGTGCAAAGTTGTGTTTGGCTGGCACCAAGATGCAGAGGTGGTGCATGCATCCCAATGCAGGCGTCCCATTGTTGTCTATTGGGATATGCAGCTGCACGAACAAAGTCGCAATGTCCCAATATGACATGTGGGCGTTGGTCCTTAAATGAACACAGGGTGAGTTTGGGGACCTGTACCCATTCGGATGTCATATTGTAGCTGTGTCTGTGCTGCTACAAGTCCTAATAGACAACAATAGGATGTCTGCATGGGGATGCACTGAACAGCTGTGCATCTCCATGCAAGTAAAACAAGGCCTGCACGTGATGCATGGAATCATCTGGTGTGAACAAGGCCTAAAAATATTTGATGATCCTGCAATGAAAATCCTCGTATAAATTCAGACCAATACTTGGGTCATCACAGCATCACACATATCCACAGAGAAGATAAAGTAGAGGATCCTATAGTGTAATACTGTGGAGATATTTTATTTTGAATAAAAAGGAAGTACTCACAAATATGTACAAAGGTAAGCATACAAACACCTCTCCACACCAACAAGCCGGCAGGCGTGCTGTAGTTTCGTTCTACGCGTTTCGTCCACACAGACATCCTCAAGGGGCGTGGGGTGTGATGCTGTGGAGACCTGAGTATTAGCCTGAATTTATATGGGGAGTACATATGTGGAAGTATTTCTGCCTGTGCTATGCTGGTCCATTGGGAGGAGTATAAAGCGCAAGTTGAACTCCCTTACCTTGAGTTCTAATCCTGGAGTAAGAGGCTCACCTGCATGTGGTGATGGAACACAGCACTTGGATGAAGTGATAAGAGGATAACATTTGATGGGACTTTTTGCACTTGTTTATTCATGATTTGTTCTGATTGCTTGATCTCTAAACACTTATCACCATTCACTTTGGTACATTTTGGTATATTGTTTTACAATTGTTTGGTTTAACTGCACAAATACAATTTAATAAGTTTCAGCGTAACAGTTATTTATATTGTGGCTCTACAAAGGCCATCTGAACACATATTGAACAGGTATGGTCCACCATTGTAGACCAGAGCCATGCCAACACATTGAACAGGTGTGGTTCACCATTGTAGACAAGAAAGCCAAGAAGTGTCTGAAAGAGGTTGGAGGGGTGCAAAAAAAGATAAACAAAAGTGAAAATAAGTATTTTATGAAATAGAAAAACTTGTCAACTGTTTAAAGTACACAGTGCTTTAGCAAACTAAATATCATCCAGTGCGAATTTAGATCTATTGTAACTGGTGCTTCTAGCTGGAAAGTCCTCTACTTTTCTTTGCTCCTGGTGCCCAGCCAGTTTTGCATCTTGGATCTGACATATAACAGTAGTGTATTATTTTCAGTCATTTTTTCTGCCCTGTTCCTCTAATACTGTCAGGACCACTTTAGAATGGAACTCTCAGACAGTTTACACATGTAAAGTATTAATGGATGTCATTTGTCTCCTGTCTAGAATGGGGACCTCGCTCTTGGAGGACCTGGCAGCTTCTACTGGCAAGGTAAGATTGATGCAGCCGGAACCAGAACTACATTGATCACTTGTTACGTTCAGCAACAATCATTCTTTCTGCCGTTTGCATGCATTTCAGAATGTCATGTCTTGTATATTCCTGCTGTCCTGTTTTTTTTTCTTGCATTCTGGGGAGGTGAGATCATATCTGGTTTGGGATAAGTGCAATAACTTTAGAAAATCATCTTTTCACACGGTTCTTGTTACTATGTATTTATGAAACATTCTGCTAGAGCCTTCCTAATAGTTCCATTAATAGTTTGACAGGCAGAAGACAGAGCATCTCGTGTCCATTCAAATCCCTTTAATACGGTCTTATTTACAGAAACCTATTTGGCCTGTTCTTCTTCAGCTCTTGGAGCATTTGGTTGGCCTGTTCTGCAAAGTGTGATGGAAAGCACATTTTGAGGAATACAGCGAATGTTTAAAAAGTGGACACAAGAGACAGATTTATTCATGGAGATGGAGGGATTACTGTAGCAGGAAATCTCATCTTCATAGTGTTATCATTAAGGAAGCCTTCAGGAGAAAAATATGGGGGCTGTTGTGCCTGATCTGCTTCTGGAAAATGCTAGTTTCCTGGTTGGCATGTCGACCTCTTTGTTTCAAAGCTTTCTTAGTCACTGACCTGGAACATGGATGCAGATTGCATAATTAAGTTTTGTGTTTCTGAAGATTGTGGTAAAGGGCCAATCACATCAACCCTTTACTATGTGATCAGCTGTATCCAATCACAGCTGATCCCATGTAAATAGATTTGCCGGTTGTCGACAGTCCTTTTCTTATATGCTGTATCTGTGTGAGGAAAGGAAAGCCAATTATTGGCAAAACTATCAATACATGATTTACACTGATAATCAGGTCACTGATCATTAGTGCCCTGGTTATCAGCACAGCCCCATCAGTGCCAATCAGTGCCCATCAGTGCAGCATATCACTGCCCATCAGTGCAGTATTTCTGTGCCCGTCAGGGCCGCCTATCAGTGTCCAGTATATCAGTGCCCAGCAGATCCGACGATCAGTTCCCAGCAGTGCCACCTATCAGATCACAGCTGATCCCATGTAAATAGACTTGCCGATTATCGACAGTCCTTTTCTTATATGCTGCATGTGTGTGAGGAAAGGAAAGCCAATTATTGGCAAAATTATCAATACATGGATTACACTGATATTCAGGTCACTGATCATCAGTGCCCTGATTATCAGCGCAGCCCCAGCAGTGCCACCTATCAGTGCCCAGCAGTGCCACCTATCAGTGCCCAGCTGTGCAACCTGTCAGTGCTGCCTATCAGTACCCATCAGCGCCGCCTTATCAGTGCAGCCTCATCAGTGCCTTCCCGTTAGTGCTCATCAGTGCAGCGTATCAGTGCCCATTAGTGCTGCCTTATCAGTGCCCATGAATGTCATCTCCTCAGTGCCCATCAGTGCAGCCTCATCAGTGCCCATTAGTGCAGCCTGGTTAGTGCCCATTAGTGCAGCCTCATCAGTGTCCATTGGTGCAGCCTGGTCTGTGCCCATTAGTGCAGCCTCATCAGTGTCCATTAGTGCAGCCTCGTTAGTGCTCATTAGTGCAGTCTCATCAGTGTCCATTGGTGCAGCCTCAGCAGAGCACATCAGTGAAGAAGAAAAATGTTCTGTCTTTTTTTGTTTGTTTAGCAAAAATTAAAAAACCCAGTGCTGATTAAATACCACCAAAAGAAAGCTCTTTCTGTCTCATGATTATGATGAAAATTTCATATGGGTACAGTGTTGCATGACTGTGCAATTGTCCTGGGCAGGAAGGGGGGGAAAATGTCTGGTATTAAAGTGGTTAAAGGATAACTAAACTCAAAAAAAAACAAAAATGAAACATATTGCGGCTTACCAGTATCTATGTGTGGTAGCTACATTCGTTTTCCTTTTTTTTTTTTAAGCAGAATTCCAGGTTATACCTAACTAGTCTTAAAAAAAAAGCCCCTTCCTTCTCCTAAAACCTATGTTTACAAACCTGTCTAAATAAAAAAGATGTATATACTGACCTAATTTTAGCCTGCTCCAGTCCAGTCACATGATCTGACTCCCCTGTGTCAGTTAGCGAAGGCTACAGGGGAGAGGAGGGAGCGCCGACAACAGACGGGCCATAGGAGCCTAAGGGTGATGTCAGCACTGCAAGCATAACCAGCCAATGTCGAGCGCTCTCTCCTCTCCCCTACAGCCGTCGCTGGCTGACACAAGGGATCTTGTGACTGGACCAGAGCAGCCTGGAAATAGATACAATAAAAGAAAAATATTCCTGCGCCAATACAAAATAAGTGAATCACCCTTCTAAACTGCTGCTGTGCAAAGAATGTGAAAACACAAACAGTGAAATATATAAATAAACAGCGCAAAATAGACCTAAAATCAAATATTAATAAATCACAAAATATAAATGTCCCATATCAATTGGTGCATATTTATATCAAAAAATCTTCAGAAAAAAGACACCATAAAGTCCCTTGTGATGAGGAATGACGATTCCAAATAATTTTTCTAGCCTTCCACCTTTCACCCATGCACACCAACATCAAATGCACTCACCAGTATTTGGTGAATGAAAAGCCATTAAGGATTTTTTGGGGAATCCTAAACCCTCTTTTCATCAGCTCAATGATAGCCTGCCCCTCCAAGATAAGATCCTCTTTCAGGTCCTCACCGTGGCTTCCTAGTTTGCTCCACCGTATCATCAAAGAAAAAAACTTACATAGTGTAATATTGCCAAATCAATATTATACCAAAAAAGACAGAATCCAGGCCACTCACATTTCAACAGCTTGTAAAAGGCACATTTATTAAGCCCATGACAGTCTGATAATAAGAACCAGCCACATAATCCAGGGTTCCCACACCAATGTAGCCTGATAGAGCAGAGGAACAGCAGAGAACCAGCCTAAATCCCGCAAAATGGCCGCTGGAACGCACCGCTCGGCGTGCGTTCCACTCACCGGAAGTGACGTCAGACGTATGGCGAATGGACCGGAAATGCGTCAACTCGTTTCGCCCCTCCCATCGGGCGTTCTCAAGACCCTTCTTGAGAACTTGAGAACGCCCGACGGGAGGGGCAAAATGAGTTGACGCATTTCCGGTCCATTCGCCATACGTCTGACGTCACTTCCGGTGAGTGGAACGCACGCCGAGCGGTGCGTTCCAGCGGCCATTTTGTGGGATTTAGGCTGGTTCTCTGCTGTTCCTCTGCTCTATCAGCCTACATTGGTGTGGGAACCCTGGATTATGTGGCTGGTTCTTATCGTTAGGCTGTCATGGGCTTAATAAATGTGCCTTTTACAAGCTGTTGAAATGTGAGTGGCCTGCATTCTGTCTTTTTTGGTATAATATTGATTTGGCAATATTACACTATGTAAGTTTTTTCTTTGATGATACGGTGGAGCAAACTAGGAAGCTACGGTGAGGACCTGAAAGAGGATCTTATCTTGGAGGGGCAGGCTATCATTGAGCTGATGAAAAGAGGGTTTAGGATTCCCCAAAAAAATCCTTAAAGGCTTTTCATTCACCAAAATCTGGTGAGTGCATTTGATGTTGGAAACAGATACGTATATACAGTCATGGCCGAAATTGTTGGCACCCTTGATATTTCTCCAGGAAATCATGTATTTCTCACGAAACGTATTGCATTAACACATGTTTTGCTATACACATGTTTATTCCCTTTGTGTGTATTGGGACAAAACAAAAAAAGGGAGGAAAGAAAGCAAATTCGACATAATGTCACACAAACCTCCAAAAATGGGCTGGACAAAAGTATTGGCACCCTTTCACAACTGCGGATAAATAAGAATGTTACAAGCATGTGATGCTCCTGTAAACTCACCTGGGGCAAGTAACAGGTGTGGGCAATATAGAAATCACACCTGAAAGCAGATAAAAAGGAGAGACGTTCACTTAACCTTTGCATTGTGTGTCTGTCTGTGCCACACTAAGCATGGACAACAGAAAGAGGAGACGAGAACTGTCTGAGGACCTGAGAACCAAAATTGTGGCAAAATATCAACAATCTCAAGGTTACAAGTCCATCTCCAGAGAACTAGATTTGCCTTTGTCCACAGTGCGCAACATTATCAAGAAGTTTGCAACCCATGGCACTGTAGCTAATCTCCCTGGTCGTGGACGGATGAGGAAAATTGATGAAAGATTGCAACGCAGAATAGTCCGGATGGTGGATAAGCAGCCCCAAACATGTTCCAAAGACATTCAAGCTGTCCTGCAGGCTCAGGGAGCATCAGTGTCAGCGCGAACTATCCGTCGACATTTAAATGAAATGAAACGCTATGGCAGGAGACCCAGGAGGACCCCACTGCTGACACAGAGACATAAAAAAGCAAGACTACAGTTTGCCAAAATGTACTTGAGTAAGCCAAAAGCCTTCTGGGAAAACGTCTTGTGGACAGATGAGACCAAGATAGAGCTTTTCGGTAAAGCACATCATTCTACTGTTTACCGAAAACGGAATGAGGCCTACAAAGAACAAAACACAGTACCTACGGTAAAATATGGTGGAGGTTCAATGATGTTTTGGGGTTGTTTTGCTGCCTCTGGCACTGGGTGCCTTGACTGTGTGCAAGGCATCATGAAATCTGAGGATTACCAAAGGATTTTGGGTCGCACTGTAGGGCCCAGTGTCAGAAAGCTGGGTTTGCGTCCAAGATCCTGGGTCTTCCAGCAGGACAATGACCCCAAACATACGTCAAAAAGCACTCAGAAATGGATGGCAAAGAAGCGCTGGAGAGTTCTGAAGTGGCCAGCAATGAGCCCAGATCTAAATCCCATTGAACACCTGTGGAGAGATCTTAAAATTGCTGTTGGGAAAAGGTGTCCTTCCAATAAGAGAGACCTGGAGCTGTTTGCAAAGGAAGAGTGGTCCAAAATTCCGGGTGAGAGGTGTCAGAAGCTTATTGATGGTTATAGGAAGCGACTGATTTCAGTTATGTTTTCCAAAGGGTGTGCAACCAAATA